CCGAGATGGAGAATATCGCGCGTCGAGTAATGAGATCTGAGCTAGGGAAACTGGCTATAGAGGAGTAAAGCAGGTAATTAATCGTATATATCGTGTCCTTATATTATGATCACGATCTGGATAGGGGTAGCAACAATTACTCGAATGTATATGCCATATTTGAATCGAATAAATGGATGTATATATGTTAGTATGGCTAAGTCAAGAAATAATAAGCGTAAAACAATGGGTAAGTTTACCGATAGTCCATCCCAGTATATGCAATTATTAAACCAGAATAAATATGAGCATACGTATAATCCAGGGAATAACTTCGTGGTGGTCGAGAATAAAAGTAAGGGAAGTATAGTAGGAGTGTTCGATTATACTGAACTATATGTATATTTGGAAATGCATCATCCGAATTTATTATAGCCACTGTGTGACTGCCTTCGGCAATTTCGTTTTGTAGTAAGATAATTCAACTGCATTAATAAATCGCGTCCTTGCATTGTAACTGCGATCATGATAATCACTTTTTTACGTATTACGTTGCACATTCTCATTGCCCGTGTCGTTCGAGATCACGAAAAATTATTAGTGCGTGACAAATTGTCACGCAGTCACATGATTTGCCAAGAAAATTATTTCACAGGTTAGATCCACATGCTTTTCGTGCGATCCAATTTCTATATAGAAGTTCGTGGAACATTCTCGTATAGCATAGATAATCGTTATACGTATTTTTTTCGTTTTATTTTAGCCTGGGAAATACTTCTATACCACATATGCTTTGCGATAAGAACATGCGAAAACAAGAATTAAAAAGGCAATAAGGAAGAAGAACCCGTTATCCCCTATCAACGCTGTTATTAGAAAATGACAGTTATAGGACTTTGGAATCTCCGCCATCTCCGTTAGATCGTCATTGCGATAACTGACTTTAGTCTTGCAGGAGCGATCTCGAACAAAAAGGAATTTCATTCTCCCTAAAAACACCAAATATATACAGGCTTCGGCTTTGTCAAGTTCTTGGCATATGATAACACTTTTCATGAGGCTAAATTGTAACAGGTTTACCTACGATTTCAGTAACAGACAATTTTACTATTGCCAGGTTTCGGAGATTCGTTCGATAAAGTTTCAAATCAAGTGAATGAAAACATTATAAATAAGCAGGTTTTAGGGAGACTTTATTTCTTGCATTCCCACAGATTTTTTAGAGGTATGATTGTTTATGGTAAATACCTATGAAAGTGGAATTTTCACTAACTATGGGGTTTATATTTAGGAAACGCAAAAATGACCAATATTACTCTCAATTGTTTTATCATTCCTACTGGTTCGTTTAGTGGTATTTCACCTCGTAGTGCTAGTTTTGAAATTACGATTCTCAGGAGTACTGATGTTGCCGTGCTTCAAACTCAAATTCAGAATTACATAAATCAGTTACCGTCTCCATTTAATGATGTTGATATTTTTCTTCGTGCATATCATCCAGGGCCAGTAAAATACCGAGTCATGAAAGAGCAGTCACCAATTTCTCAATATTTCAATGGGGATCTTCCCAACGTTTTTCATATTCTTGTACAGGAGGATAGATAGATTTTTTTTATTCGTATTTACACCATGTAACTGCGATATGTATTTCGCAAATTTATTACCGTGTAATGGGTCTTTGACCTTATTTTTTGTATCTGCCTTACTACGGGCAATGTTTTTTATTTTGTTATAATAAAATAATTACACATCAAGCATTTTATTGCCACGTGCATTCCATGACTTTTAAGTCTGGGCTCTGCCTATTATGCGGATCGAAGTTATCACATGTTTTTCGCTGATTCGTCATACAATTTTAGTTATAATTTTTTGTAAAAAGATTCGATTTGTCATTACACATTGCAATGAGGCTTTGCCTCTACGTATTACGTTACACGTTCTCATTGCCCGTGACGTGTATTCGAGACGCACGGAGTGCGGTGTTTCCAACACTTAACGTGGGATGCAGAGTCGAAGCGCCATTTATTCCGAAATAGGACCCTATTGCATCTAAATTAAGCAACAAACAAAATATGAGTGATACATATGAGGAATTGCTAATTATCGGCGGTATACACACAAACGATTTTATAGGTGAACGATCACCCGATGCGCAATAATAGTACGAAGTCGTCATATTCTGTGATTTATTACTTCGATTTAATACGAAATGTAAAGAACCAATACCACGGATCGCTAATACAAATGAAGATCCACAAATCTACAGATGACATATGTGTCAGAAATTATAATCACCAGAATTTTATTACCTCGATTTAGTACGAAATTTAAAGAACCAATGTTATATATCGTCGATAATGAGTTTTAACATATAAAAACAGGATAAATTCGCTGGAGATTTGGGTAAGAAATCATTCTATATTGTTAACAATCACATAAAAAATCACTATTAAATCGCGCATACAGAGCAATACACAAATAAAACAAAATTTTATTCCGCGATAAAAATGCCACTCAATACATCTGATATTTTTTTCATTTCGATTTTCATCGTTATAATTGTGGTCCATGAATTATATAATCGGGGTATCTTGACAATGGAGATGCTTTATGCAATTGCCGGGGAAAATGTAACAATGTACGCCATCCTCGGAATTGTATTATTTATAATTCGAAAAAATATGTACGCATCCCCACCTCCGACCCCAACTCCAATTTCCACTACGTTGGATGCAGATATAAAAGAATTAAAACGAGATAATTTATCTATAAAAAACGAAATTACAAGAATGCAAAATCAATCGGAATGGAGGAGTGAAGTCCGAAGTCAAGGTTTGTGATACACGACGAATTTAGATGTATTTATTTCTAGCTAAAGCCCTGTCTTCAACGCATATTTATTTAACCGCATTTTTCTTTAGGGCAAGCATCTATAACAAACTTCGTTGGACAAAATCGGGGAATGGGTCGAGAAAGAAAACCGGAAAAAAGATAATTCAGTTATCATTAGTAGTAGCAATAATTTAATTTTTTAAGTAGCAGTAGTAGAAATATAATTTTAGATGATAGTAATGAAAACAATGATAATGATAGCTAGTGTGGGTGGGGAAAGGAACTGCCATCTTAAGACTTAGGGATCTGAGCAGGCATGTTTTAACGTGCTTTATTCCTCCCTCTTCGTCCCTGCCCCTACGCTTCTATCTATTCGTTATTTTTTGGCCGGCCACATAGATTTTATTTGTAATAGCAAATGTATTAATAAAATTAATAAAGATATAATTCACCGAAAATTCTATTCTGTAACGGTTATGTGAAATTGATAAGCAAAATAAATCAGCCCGTGTTACTGCGCTTATGACATTTCAGATCCGTGGCTTGTGGAACAATATAATAATAAAAATAGATTTTGTTTCGTGTCTACATTTCTTGCAAAAATGTCTATACCTGCTCTCCTGGATTTTTATCGCGACAATATAATTGACGATTGGACGTGTCCTAATGTAGTAGATTTTTATCGTACGAAAGTAAAAAAAAAGAAATTGAAAGAATTGATCGATCTTATACATAAAGATCTTCGAGAAGTGGCAAATTCTGATCCTGGATTTGACGTGACAAGAAAAAAAAAAGCTCGAGAAATACTTGATAACTGGAAGGTATGTTTGCTGGTAGAGTAGAATGAGTGGGTTAAGAGCTCTTTGTCTGAACAGTGATGAACTGTAGGTTCGACACTTAGCGCAAGCTGTGACTGCAGGTCTCCAGTGATGAATTGTAGGTTCGACGCTTAGTGCAAGCTGGGACTGCAGGTCTTACAAGGACGAGTCCTTAGTCCAATGCTTCTTCTACTCTATATTAGTCCAATTCTTCTTTTACCCTATATTGTTATTGTTAAATGTTTCTAAAAATACACTAATTATTCTTTGTTTCGTTAAGAGCTGGACTGCATCAGTAAAGAACTTTAAAAAAGATCTCGAACAAGTTAAAATCGATCGTCTGCAGATAAACCAGCTTTCGACCGGAGATGGCACAACATACAACAATTGTCACATAATTTCAGAACTTCCCAAGTATAATGACGCGAGTCGTACAGATTCGGAAGATAAAATATTAGAAAAACCTACTAAAAATGATGGCGCAAATAAAAATGCGGACATATTGGTAAATATTCAATACCTTGAAGCATTTATCTATGCATGCAATCAAAATATGCATTTCCTGATTATGAATACATTACCTTTTGCGATTTCTTTTAGGAGGGGGAATGTTCTACGAGAAAACTCAGAGATACTATATCTATTGATTACAATCACAATTTGAGTGAAACTTATTTTTCTGATTCAGATCATGTAAGTAATATACTAATGCAAATGTTGATATATAAATTAATATTAAAAGGCGTCTATTCAAATTTCGGCAGGAGTCAGATAAAAGAAAGCAGAGCGAATTGGATGATGAAAGTGATGTAAGTTGATATTACATGGATTAATTAATTTACAATACATTTATATGACCAAAACGATATATATATTATTAGTATGAAGCAAGTAATAGCCCTACTTCCTCCGATTCAAATAATCAGCAAAAAAAGGTAGGCAATACTATTAATGCCATCATAAAAAACGAAAACATGTAAACCAATATTAAAAGACACTACATGTAATTTTTAGCGGAAGATCAATAAAGGGAAACAACCAAAATCAAAAATAAGAATGAAACGTGATAACAGAAGTGTAAGTATAAGATTTCCTCGGAGATGTTTGGTTAATTTTTTTTATTGGCGGTTGTAATTAAATACTAATTCGCCACCCATTACTCAATTGTCACAAATTCAGGCCAGTTCCTTAAATTCTATATCAAACAATGTAACAATATCACAAGATTCATCAAATCAAGAACAATTACCGACTGTGATAGTTACAAACCCTACCACCCGAATTACAAGAACTCCATCACCAAGGCCTAATATTGATAATGCTAATATACAAATTACTCCTCAAAAGTCAGTGCTTTTTAAGGATTCCGTAACTTATCTACAAAACCATATAAAAATGAATGTAAATAATCAAGGAATGATCATAAAAGATAATCGTGCACCAAATGCATCAGTAGATATTTCTAATATAATTCGCAATTGGCTTGTAAAAATCTTATCAGTAAGTTATCATTAATTTCTTTTAGATGTTAATGATAGTAAATTGTATTTATTAAAATTTCTTTACTCTAGTCAACAAAAGAAGAGTTTAAAAAAGCCATTATGACACCTTTAACCTCTGAAGCAAGTCAAAAGGATAAAAAATTTCGAGAAATTTGTGAATTCATTTTATATGATTTGTATGTGTATTATTTCACACATGAATTTGTATTTTTTGACATGCCGAGTTTACTAATATGCTTTTAATTTATATTGATTCAATTAGTTATTTTACAACAAAAGGAGGTCCCTTAAAACGAAATGTTGGTGAACGTACGTATATAGTAGAAAGAATAGTTCCCATATTTAAAGCAATACAGTCGATATACGAAGAAATTAAGTTTCATTGGATAGAGATTGAATTAAACTGTATGAAAGAGATAAAAAAACTACATCCGGATTTTAATTTGACTATAAATCAGGCTGATGGTCTAGGAATAAGAAATTCAAGCAACAAGGCAATTCTTTTTATTGAGGTTTCGGGTGGACCTGAAAGTTCAGATCTAAAACACGCAAAGGAAGATAGCGAAAAGCTTCTTAAAGAAGCCATATTTGGACTTGTTTCCATACTACGAAATCACATGGATAAGAGTGCAGAAGAGTCAAAACATTTATACACGTTTATGATACAAAGCATTGGTAATTTATTTTTATACACATTCATGATACAGAATATTGGTAATTTATTTAGTACACTATATTAGATCTTTTAACTATTTTAAAACATATAAATCTTACATGTTGTTAGGTGACCGGATAACATTTAGTAAACTATGTCTTGCAAATAAGCATATTTACTCAGTTTTGCAGATCAAATCTGCAATATTACCATTCGAATTCAATGATGTAGCAGATTATTTGGAGGTTTTTGAACTTCTTCACATTCTAGTGGTAAGTATTTTAAATTATGTTAAATATGCCATTAGATTTTAAAAGAGCTTCAATATAACATTCATACTTAATTTTCAGAGTGAACTAGAAATTCAAATGGGAGTGATAAATAAATTAAAGTTATCCGAATCAGTCAATGGTACCAATGTACCAAAAATTCGGGACTGGATTTGGGTTCCGGATTCAGTTTCTGCATGGGAATGTAAAGAAAATTGAAATGAAAAGTCGTGAATTACAAATATTACAAATGTATTCTTGATATTTTCGATATTGTTGATCTATTAATTTCCGAATAAAGTATATAATTCAATTCAGCTTAAAATCAAATTGCGAATGCTTTGATTATTTCTCTTGAATAATTAATGATGGGTGTTTTTTAATCTAAAAAATAGTTGGATACGTATGTATCTCAATCTTTTACAAATGTGTCCGCTTAAAGTTTTAAGTTTACTCAATAAGACCCAATTCTCGAAGATGCTCTGGAATAACTATATATGGGTCTTCATAATACCAAACATACCTTAAAACGATCCAGTTTTCTTCGCATAATTCGTTCTTGAGTTGATCACGTATTAATTGCTTCTCAAAGTCTTCCTCATTTTTGTGGAAATGTTTTATATGTTGCTCATGTTGCTTACCTTGTACTTCTATAGCAAATCCATACTGTGGATAGTAGATGTCAAGTTCTAGTCCTTGAGGATGTTTAGATGTTTTTAAGAAATCTGGTCGGCGAATGCTAGAAGGTGGGCCAAGAATATTAGTTATGACTTCACGACATAAGGTTTCTTGCTTATTTAAGCAATATGGACACCACGATTTAGAGTATTTTATACAATTAAAACTTGTAGACCATTTATGGCCTTTACTACACATCCATTGCAGAGGAACACGGGTATTTATATATTCCTTAGAAAGACACAAACCTCCTCTACTGTAAGCGATCTCCTTTGCTTCCATAAGACCACAAGGAAAAATTCCAGAACATTGTAGACACCATCTTCCCATATTTTTTATTCGATAAAGGGTTGTAGACCATTCATGACCTTTGGCACATCTCCAAAGCATCGGAGTATCTGTATTAACATATTCTGTAGAAATGCACTTACCGTCTCGTTCTTGTGCAATACTGTTTGCTATATCAATATTGAATCGTCGATGACTACATTTTCGGCGTCGTGTATCTGGTGCAATATGTTTTTGTATTGGAATAACACGTTTTATACACCTTCGACACCAAGTTCCCTTAAGAATATCCTTCGTTGAAGCCATCCATTTATGACCTTCTCTACACTGCCATTCAAGAGGATCCCGTCTATTAATATACTCAGTTGCAAGGCAAAGACCTACCTTTTTTATTGCAAACTTCTTCATATCTTCAATCGTTCGAGTACGCTGATTTTTGACCGCACACCGCGGACACCATGTTTTTCTATTTTTCCACGCAATTAAGGCTTGCAGACCATAAATGATCGTTAGCACATTTCCAATGCATTAGAGCCTTACTATTGATATATTTTTCAGAAAGACATTCACCTTCTCTATTACACGCAATTTCTTTAGCAATATCTAAAGTTAATTTTGCCATTTGTATTTTACATATATCAAATTTTCAAAAGGCCGGCTGGCATGATCAAAAATGCTTTATTTCTCCCTCTTCGCCTCCACCTACACCTCCATCTATTCATTATTTTACAGGCCGGCCTTTTACATTGTTTAAAAAAATAATATTACTACGACTATCAATAAAGATATAATTTGTTATTTTTAATTCGTGGCTTCGCAAGTGTTAATATTTGAGTGTAAAATCATTTAACGCATGTTTATTTCGGAAAAAAAAATATTTATCAGATGTGTCGGTTACATAATATCATAATAGCGGAGCTAGTGCCAAGGCACATAAAATACAGGGAGTAGAATAACTATCTATTTTCCAATCTTTTCTTGTACGCGACGTCTTTTGTTTTCAGGTGCCATTGCTCGATCTTTCAATAACCCCACGATTATGCCAATTATTTGTTTTATGCTATCTCGCAAATTTTCACGACTATCCCTAAGTACTTTTTTCGTGAGATCTATTTGATATTCCGTTTTACTTGTACAGTATAACCCGTCCGATGTAAACATGATGAAATGCCAATCCACCCCAGTGGAAACGATACCGTAGAGATAATCATAGCCATCGTCATTAAATGCTTGATCCACAGTTCGTTTTTTGTTTGTGTGGAAGGAGCTTTCGAGTTGCTTTATATTCTGAAAAACAAAAGCATATCAATAGTGATATCGATACTAATAATCAGATTTATTTTAGGCATACCTGAAGATATCCTATTTTTATGTTTCGTGGTTTTCCTTCAGTAATACATAGGAGGTCCTCTATTCCACTTATTGCATAATCAACCCGACCAGATGTTTCTTCACCAGAAATATCTCTCTGATATTCGATGTCTATTTCTTTATTGGTTTGTCTTCTTGCGACGGCAATTGATGCGTGTAATATAGATTCGATAAAAGTGCAACGTGTCGCCTCGTTAGCATCTGTCATTGATTTTATTTGCGCAAGTCGTAATGTAATTTCTGCAATACATTGTTTCAGGGCTTCGTCGTCGTCATCAATTTTCTCGAAAACTTTGGGGAAGAAATATTTGTTATACTCGATATGATACATAAACCAGAAAATAAAAATCAACTGGTATGTACTCGTTTATAGAAAACTTACTTGGATTGAATTGTTTTATACTTGTAATATTGTCGCCATTAACTTTATAATCGCGGAGTAGCTCTTTTAACTCTTCTACAGTCTTGTAAGACGAAAAAGATCGTAGTTTTTGTTCTTTGATATCCGCAATAAATTTTGTTAATACTGTTGTTGGCCCTCCTTTCATGCCATAATTGCGGAATTCATCTTTTGTTGTTTCAAGAAAGGCGGGACCAGAAATTTTTTCTTTACGGAGAATTTCAAAGTCATCTTCATCCAATTTTAAATTTCTTCTTCGCAAATAATCGATTAGCTCGTCAGTATCATAATCTTTAATTACATCCGCCATGGTGCGGGTTATTGCTTCTTCGCCAGATGATATGCTTGAGGGTGAGGCTGGTTCTGAAGACATGATATTACTTTTATATTGGTTTATGGCGTTGAAATCTGGTTTTATGCACTGCGTCGTATGTAGAAAGATAGAGAAAATGAAAATTTATTTCGTCTCTGTTTTTGGTGAATCAGATCCTTTATATTGCTTAAAAAGTTACACTAGGGAGGTCAGAAGATGGAACATGCATAGATCTCGGCGATTACGGAGATAGTGAAGAGTTCAAAGCCCTATAACCTGTTAAGCGCACTAATAAAAATTGTCATGCTATTTCCCGCTATTGCCTTTTCGAGTTTCGTTTGCATGCATTCTTATTACAGAGCAAAGAAGTTTTCACAGGCAAAAATTAACGATCCGGTTTATGTGGGAAAATGAAATACAGTGGTGTTCAAAAAAAATGACAATTTTTAAAATCACGTTATTTAAATGATTATCACATCAATTAAAATGTATTTTGTATTATTTTAAAGCTGAAACTCAGCAGATTTTATTAAAAAAATTTAATATGATATTCTTTCTCCATTTTTTTCAATAACCTCTCTACAACGTCGTGGCATTGAATTTACAAGATTAATTAGAACACTATTTGGAACTTTTTCCTATTCTTCACTTAAAAGGCTTTCTAATTTGGTAAGATTTTTTGATTTACGTAACTCTACGTTCCTCTTAACGATTGCCCAAAGATTTTCAATAGGGTTCAGGTCTGGACTATTGGAAGGCCAATCTATAACTTCTGGGACATTATTATCAAGAAATTCTTTAGCAATACGACTAGTATGCTTAGGATCGTTATCTTGTTGTAGGCGCCATTGTCTTTTTAATATTCTGTTAACCTCCGGAATATGTTTTTCCAAGATTTCTATATAGAATTTTGCATCCATTATACGTTGAAAACAAAAAAGACTTGTTTTTCCTTTAATGCAAAAACCCCCCCATGCGAATATTTTTCTTCGGTCCTTTGGCATAC